ATTTAATTTTTTATTAAAATAACTTATATAATACAATCATTTACTTACTTTCTTCGTTTTCTCGACGATCCACCTCATCATAAACATCCATTGCCAGTTCTTCCAACAAATGATTTGGTAACTAGACAAAAAGAGTTCATATATTATACTGTATATTTTTATTAAATCTATATACTTACCAGTTGTAACTTATTTCTTCCTTCTACACATAGATCACTTTGTTCCAACAATAATGTACATTCGGGAATAATTATATGCTCATCCAGTCGATGATCTGGCTTACGGGAACATATGTAATATGTCAATCTGTCCGTTACTTCGTACATACATTCAATTATACGATCAGATAAATCTATGTGTCCTGCCATTCTATAAAATGAAAATTTTACTATCATATGTGAATAGTCTAATTTTTCATATGTATTCATTAAAAAAAAAAAAAAATTTTTTTATCAAATTTGAAAATTCTAATTTTTTATATTTTTTTATTAAAAAAAAAAAAAAATTTTTTTATCAAATTTGAAAATTCTAATTTTTTATATTTTTTTATTAAAAAAAAAAAAAAATTTTTTTATCAAATTTGAAAATTCTAATTTTTTATATTTTTTTATTAAAAAAAAAAAAAAATTTTTTTATCAAATTTGAAAATTCTAATTTTTTATATTTTTTTATTAAAAAAAAAAAAAAAAAAAAAAATAATTTATTACATACTTAGCAATTTCAGCAGGTGTCTGTCCATTTGCATCAATCATGCTAGGATTACCACCATTTGCTATTAAAAGCTCTAACTGCAAAGCTTGCCCTGCCCTAGCAGCTACATGTAAAGGTGTTGTACCCTTTTCCTAAAGAATCAAACATTATACTATATGTTTTTAGTATTGAAATATACAATATTACTTCATTTTGGAATACCTTGTAAAAATAACATGGATTAGCACCTTGTGCAAGTAATCTTAAAGAAGTTTCTAAATTACTTGTACGAACACTACTATGTAACTGTCTACTTAATTCCTCTTCACTACAACTTTCTTCCTTACTTGGATGTAATATGAATGTTAAATGTTGATGTTTTGCTCTAATAAAATCAGCCTTTACTGGACTGAAAATAATTAAGTTATTATTCAAATGCTTTATTTTATGCAATTTTATAAAAGGGTTTATACTAACTGTAATGGATCTTTAGCTTGTGGTTTTCTTCTATTAATCTTTGAGTTACTAGGATCTAACAGGGAATGTTCCCAAATACTGTTTGCTCCATTATCATTCAATGTATGCACCATCTATAAAATATTAAATATTACTTTTTTCAATTATGTGCTATTTATTATTCTTCTACCATTTTTTACTAACATTAAGCAGACTTGTATGCCAAATGCTCTTGTGAAGTGATTTTATTTGAGATATATGACGACCAAGGCTACGATGTATTCCACAACAATCATCACATAATAAAATTGCTCTGTTCAATGAAGCCCATCCTGGTTCTAAAAGCAGTTGTAAAATTTATAATTTTAACAACTAAATACAAAATTATTAATAACAAATTAATGTACAAAATCGTAGTAAATAAAAATAATAAAGAATAACATTCTTTTTCAATAGAATGTGCATAACACAATTTTAATGATGAAACATTTACTATTGCTATACACATTATTAAATTTGCGTAATATATATGTGTATATGAAAATGTCCAAGAAGAAATAAATGCATAATTAATATTAACCTTTTTTAAATAATCATTTGGTTATAACCAGTTAAATAATGATTTTTTATCAATATTTGAGTACACAATTTTAGTAAAAAAATAAAAAAATATAATAAAAATCACATGTGAAATAAATCATTAGAAGAAAAGAATGCATTTACCAAGGGCTCCGCAGTCAGCGCATATATCCGTGTTAACTCTATGCTTCGGTCGAGCCATTCTCTTTACGTTTATTTCATCAGAGCACGGTAGTTAGATTTGTTATGAGAAATTTAGAAAACGTAACATAATGCACAGCTTGTTTTAAAAATGATAATATCAAAAATCAAACTGGACACAAAAGCTCCTGGCCTGGATGACATTATATATTCAATGATTACACCGTGACAGGAGTCATCCCGAACGAGCTTGAGATAGTTGCACCATTGATCGAGCATCCTAAAAGATACGCAATCACACGATACACTTCTGCTTACATTACTTTATTCTAACCTATTTCATTTTCGTCTTGTATTATGTATGTACATCCTTTTGTATTTATTATAAAGATTTACTCAATCACTTTCGGTAATACCAAAAAATTATAACACTATTATTGTTACATACAATTCCATTTCAAATTGTCAGAATTAAACATTGGTTACAATCGTAACTTCAGTTTTAATGAATAATTCAGGATTAACAAAAACATTCAATTGGTATTTTAGTAAATGCAATACAATATAAAAGTTTGCCCATTTTTAATTAACACAAAATATATTTACATTAATTTTAAAGTTGAATGTATACAGTAAATTAAATCATATACAAAAATAACATATTTTGTTACACACGAATTAGCAATTATTATTACTACTAATTACTAATAACATATTAAATTAATATTGTACATACAAGTGAATAATAAATTAAATACACTGAGTGGTCTTTATGATAACTATTAAAAAAAAACAGTTCATAATGAAGATTCTGGCGAATCAGAATATAAATTATTAAGATCTGTAAGCAATTTATTTGATATATATGTTGCATTGAGATCAGATTTATTTATGTCATTAATTTGACATAGAGATCTAAATTTTTTGCCATCTGGAGTTTCTAAAAAACTCACGCTTGATTTCAAAGCCATGTATTCCCTGAGTGGCCGTTTTTGTTTATATTTTGGAATTATAGGAGTTTTTAATTGAATAGAATACTCTTCAGCAGGTTTTGCATGTGTAATGTTAAGTTGATTCTCTAATTCCATAAAACTTACATCAGATATTCTTGTATTCTCATATTTAATATTCTCTTTATCATTTTCTGTATCTTGAGTTAACTTACTTTTATCTATAATCTCTGTGTCTGTTACTATAATTTCTGTAATAGGCATTTTTAACTTTTCTTCTGCACAATGTATCGATTTACGACAAGTTTCTACTTGAACTTCTTTGTCTACCATAGTATGATTTTCTTTTTTTAATGTAGAATGATCTTCCTTTATATCAACATTAGAAGGGGTCGTTTTTTTATCATTTATAGATAATAATCTTGTAACACATGTTAATGTAGATCTTATTCTAAGTACATTTTTTTCTGTTTGTTCTAATAAATCTTTTAAATCATGTTTCAAACGAATAATCGTGTCTTTATTTAGATAGATCATTTCAGATAATCCATGTTCTGTATTCATATCATTTTCAACAGCCATTAATTGTGTATCTTGTAAATTGTTACATAAATTTTGTATACAATCATTTTCCTCTCTTGACATTGTACATATTTTACTTTTTAAATTAGGTTCTTTTGGAATAAATTTTTGTTGCATTGAATTATTTTGTGTTAATAACTGATCCTCATTTATTGTTATTTGCTGAGGAGTTGTACATTGAGAAGAAACCAAAGATTTTGCTGTAACATGTGTGGTTTCAAAATATTGTGTATAATTTGCATCAATAAATTTTAATCTTGCATAATTATAAGATAGAAAAATTTCATGTTTATTACCTGTTTTTATGCTGTCAGGTGAGACAGTAGGAATAACACTGACACCTATGAATTGATTATGTAATAATAAAATATTATCCATTTTGATTATTTCATTTTCTTTTTTAACAGCAGATTCAGTTCCTGATTCATCAACTTCTCTTGATACATCAGATATTTTTGGACAATTACTTCCTTTCTTCAAGTGTTTATTTTTTATAGTATTTGGTGGTAATAATAAACTCTTTTTTCTCATTGAATTCCTACCATTTTCATGAATTGGTTTATCTTTATTACTTATTAACTTGTTTGACTGAGTTTTATTTTCATTGTTCTTTTTTGAACTGCTACTACAGATTTCATTAAAGTTGAGATTTCTACGTACATGTTTATCAGAGTATACAGATTTAATATGATTATTTGTTCCTGGTAAAAATAAAATCATTTATTTATAGGAATATTTCATTAAAAATATAATTGCATACTAACCATATTGTTTTCTAAGTTTCTCTGGGTTCTTTTTGCTTGATAATGTACCCAATCTTTCAGGTTGTATTTTTTTACGTTCTAGAAGACAAATAGTTTTATGAATGTACAATACTCATTAAAAAAATAGACGTATACCAACCACTATTTTTGTGAGTGCTTTTAGAATTTTCAGATAGTCCAAGCAGCTGTGCGATTTTAATTGGTTGAGGTCTTTCACTGTCTATGAAATAAATACTTGTTCGATTTGATTTATTTTTTGTTAAAAACTGATTTTTAATGAGACAATTAGATTAATGAAATTACTAATTGTATTTGTTTAACTGTAGCTTTGCCCTAAAAACATGTAACTACAGATGACATATGTGTACATTATCTGTATACTTAAAACTTTAATTTGGACTTACCGTAGAACTAGATTTTATCAATACCATTTTCAATTTTAAACAAATAAATTGCAAACCCAAAACATCACATAGTTAAAGAAGTTCAAATTTCTTGTAACTTAACGGATTATAGTCATAAAACATAACATCAATAGATTCGTAAACGGCAAATCATACTTTAGTTACATAGAATGGTGCATTTACATTACGCAAACACACAATATACCAGTGAGAAATTGTAAACTTACATTTTATATATCGCGCGTTTACTTTGTGATTCTAAACGCATAAGTTATAAACATAAATAAAATATTAAGTAATAATAATGCTGACAAACATTTATGTATATGTAATATACACTACACGATTAGATATCTGTTACGGATAAATACAATTCAAAGTACATATGAAAGGTTTTGCGTAGATTTCTTATCTATAGTTGGCTATTCCCCGAAGTTACATCTGTCGGCCATTTTGTTAAATTTATTTCTAAATGTATCCCCTCCAAATTGAAAACAACCGAAGGTTGACGCTGTTCTCGATCCCGATAAAGTATTTTTGGTTAGGTTAATAGCTGCATAGAGGATATTTAACAGTAAGTAAATTATTGTGATCGCGTCTGTTTCCATTAATATTGTATCGAGGTAGACAATTTCTACGCGTGCACGAAGAAGTACCGCTTCAGCGTAGTTCTTAATGTGTAATTGGATGGAAGGAGGCTTGGCATAAAGAGAGGCTATGGCTACTGCTTTGATCATATGTAAAATACTGTTACTCGATCGGCCACCCTTTGTTTTTCATTACCGATCTATTTAGCACTTCTTTTAATTGATTTGTTTCCGTGTAACAATTTTTTATCTTGAAATGCTTGTTATAACCTCTAAAGTCATAACCTATATAATATAACCTTAGATGTCAACATTTTAAATATTTGCTGTTCAAAATGTTTAGCAAAAACGTTCTCACAAACTTTTAAAAACTTAGATAATATATAATTCGGAATGTCCAAAATGTATGCCCTTCAACTCAGTTTCATACGAAATTTGTTCAATATTACATTTCATGTTAGTAATATAGAGGTATATTTTAACAAATAAGTATCATTTATAATTAATC